AGTCTCATAGATAGACCCACTGAAGTGGTACCCCAATTGCCTCACCCTGCCATCCCTGTTTAGCATGGAAGAAGCCAGAGCAGTTTATCTGCAAGCTTGTTAACCTCTTCAGTGGAATAGGAGGTAGGAATTGGCTAGGCAGTTAGTGTAAAATGACCCCAAAGAAAAGTAGCCAGTTTCTTGGCTAAAATTCAAAATGTCCTTGGTTGGGCCTCTTAGCAACATACTCTGTTCCAAAGGCCAAAAGTGTCAAAAGTATTTGGGAGCTTATCTCATCCTTAAAAGATTTTAGGGTTACCTCTTCAGAGGGGGGAGTGTTAGAGTTGCCAGAAGCCCCATAAAATAAATAAATCAATCAAAGAAGAAGAAAGAGTACATGAAGTTATCAGAAAAAAATGATGGGGAGATACAGGAGGAGTTGGAGGGGAGGCAGTGGACATGGATTTGATCCAAACACCTTATATGCATGTATGAAATTCTCAATAAATCATTTGTTTAAAATAAAACAAAAAACAAAAAAAGAAAATGAATTAAATGTAAAATTTTTATGAAAACAAGGCAGTTGTTTGTTTTATAACCAGAAATGCCAAAGCTCTCTCCTCTGCCCACATCTTACAGCATTGTTTGACAGATCCAGACATCTTACTACCTGAATTCTACTTTATGAGGGGACCGATTCTAGTTTATGAGGTGCCATAACTTGGAACTAAAATGCCCCGTGTCATCAGCCTGGGATGCTGAAGTACTGGAACTTTTCATAGTGGGGCCTAGTGAAAGGAAGTTACATCATTAGGGTGACCTTAAAGACATGCTGGGATCCTACCCCTCTCACTCTCTGTGTTTCCTGGACACTGTGAGGTGAGCACCTTGCCCCTGAGGTTCTTTCTTATGACAGGCACAATGACAGTAGAGCCAACCAGCCACAGGCCCAGACCTATGAAGCCAAGAACCAAACAAATCCTCCTCCTTTTAAGTTGATTGTCTAATGTCGTTTATCATAGTAGTGGAAAGATGACACAGAAGGCTTCTGGAATTTTTTCACAAAATTAGCCGAGAAGGGAATTTACAAAGTATAGTCAGTGACTACTGACATGCATTTTTTTAGTGTTTTACTGGGGGATGATTGAAGCACAATAAACTGCACTTAGCCAAAGCTCCAGTGTGATATGTTCTGACACATGTAAACACCTAGAAAATGATTACAATGAAAATAATGAACATTTCCATTTCACCCAAAGGTTTCCTTGTATATCTATATGTGTGTGTAAACTTATAGCCATTATTTTTAATATTTACAGTATTATTTACCATGACATCATTTTGTTAGCACCAGGCGCTCACATAGTCTTTCCAACAATCCCATAAATTAAGAGCTACTATCTCCTCCACTCCCTCAGAGCTGTAGTATGGGATAGGAATTGGTCGACCGGTCACTGCAGTTTACAAAAATAAATATCATTGACAAAAGTTTAGATATCATGTTTGATTTGCACTTTTCTTGGACTAATTGGACCAGGCGGCTCATTAAACCATTTGGTGAATTTCCATTCTCTTAGTTTCACATCTTAAGTGGAAAACATCACAGAGCTTCAAAATACTACAGAATAATAAAACCTCTCAGGGTAGTGAAAACATCACAGAGCAATAAAACACCGTGAACAGTAAAGCATCCCAGGGTTACATTTCAAGATACCTACCTAGTAGGTAAAACAAAAGGAAATTACAAAGTAGTTTCAAAGATTATATAAGAATACAGAAGGTTATAGAAATACAACTTTTTCTTATCGTTCACAAACCATGCTCAGAGAGAATGAAATATTAGACAAGAAGAAAAAAAAAGAGATATAAGAACCAGAAAACCTGTAACAAATCCAGTAGGTGGGGAGGACACCGATAATCCCTTAGGGATTAACCCTCATTTAAGAACCATTCTTTGAGCTGGAGAGATGGCTCCAGCAGTGTAGGGATTACCACACAATCTTGAGGGCCTGAGCTTGCCTGCCTCCCCAGCACCCACATAAGATGAAGCATGGCATGAGGTAAATGGGGTGGTAAGAAAGAAGAATATTCCGGTGACAGCATATATTAGTTACTTTTCTGTTGCTGTGATAAAACACCATGACCAAGGGAACTTATAAAAGGAAGAGTTTATTTAGCTTACAGTTCATCAAGGGTCCATTGTGGCAGGGAGGCATGGCAGCAGAGGTAGCTGGAGTAGGAGCAGGAGCTAAATTCTCACATCTTCCAGGCACAGAAAGCAGAGTGGGACAGGAGATCCAGCAAGACTTAAGAACTCTCTAAGCCCACTTCCAGTGGCATGCTTCCTCCAGCATGGCCACACCTTCTAAGACCTCCCAAAATAGTGCTACCAACTGGGGACAAAATATTCAATACTTGGAGCCTGTGGTGGACAGTCTCTTTCAAACCACCACACAGTATAAAGGTTAGCTTAGAGCGGTCTAGTGTGAATATTTCCAGAGGAGAGGGGGTTCTCAAAGATAATGTGCTCCAAGAGTAGTAGATGCCAAGGGAGAAGTCATTAAAGAAAATCCCAGGGGTTAGAAAGCCACCACAATCCCTTTGCAATGCTGACATGTCCACATCTTTTATTGAGCAGCTAGAGATTGCTGGAGCCCTGGAACCCACTCCTGTCTCCTCAGAGACTCTAAACTTGCTGGGACCTGTAGTCCACTGTGGCTGGAAATGACTGCTTCTCAAAAAAGAAACAGAGTGAGTGGCTTCTTGGCCATCAAATGTCTTTGCATGTCTCTTATTGGTTGAACTTACCCAGAAATCAGCTGGCAAGAGTGTTTGGGAAATGTGTCCTACTTCTTCTTGATCCTCCCAAAGAAGAGTTTAGAAAGGCAAGAACAAATATGAATAGCAGTGGTCCAAATCCCACCCCCTCCTCCAAAAAACAGGAACCCAGAATAGTGCCCAGGGCCAGATCGGGCTCTCCCTGGACAAAGAAGGCCTGGATTCTAAAACCAGTTCAGCTATTGATAAGCTGAGGCCTCTTCTGCCCACTGTAGCATGATGGCTCATGGCAGAGGCTCAGGATCCTGTTAGAAATAGGTCTGGGGTCCAAAGAAAATGGCCTCTCAAAGCAAAGTATTTCAGCAAGGTCAAGGTTTTGCCTCTACAGAAGGGTGCATTGCCATGCCAAATCCCACCAGCCACACACCGCACAGGGGTCCTGTTGGGTTTTTATTCCTAAGGCAAAGGCATCCTGTGCCTAGCTCTGACTGGTCAGAGATTGGAGCCTCACATTTTTATGCAGTTGGCTAATTTAAAATAGTTCAGCTGATAACAAAATGCAGCTTTAGAGAGCAGGATGCAACTTTGAGGATAAACTAATCTTTGGAAAAATGCTGACTGGGGAAGGAGTGTTGCCAGATGGTGTTTCTACACATTTCTTTAAAGATGGAGCTTTCTTTGTTTAACACTTTGATAGAAAAGACGGTAAATTTTATTTACATTTTCCACGGTCCTCATGTGTAAAGTGGGCCCCAACACCTGCCTCAAAGGATTATAATGAAGGTAAAATGGCCCACTGTAGGTAAACAGAACAGTGGCTGGAATATAAGAAGTGTTCAATAATTGGAAGTTATTGATATACCTATATGACTTCGGTTTCACCATTAAAGAAAACTTAGGAAGGGAAGTTAAATCACCTGTGCTTGTCTCTACCCCAAAAGAGGTAACAGCTGTACTCAGACTGAGGCTGAGGCTGGAGACACAGAGAAAAATAATCATCTGTCCCTTTCATCAAATGACTCAGTTTGAGGGAAAGACAGACAAGGATAGATTAACTATGATTCAAAGCAAAATATACTCAGGAATAGAATAGATAGATGGAAAGTTCTAGGAGGGTTAAAACCTAGTAGAATGATTCACATTGACACGCTTTAAATCCGCGGTTGTCCTCCTGTGATCTCTGAAATTCACTTACTCATGCGCCAATTTCCTCCTCTGTCAAGTGGTTGTGACATTCTCAAGAAGACGCTGTGAAGGAAGCTACTGTATGGAAAAGGCATTCAAACGCGATCCTTGTGATATATCCAGTGGGCTATAGGAAAGGTACCAGAACCGGAAGCGGAAGAGGTCGCGGAACAGTCATCTATTAGGACTGCTTATGAATTGTGGAAGAAGTTCGTACAGAATCAGGTAGGTTACCACACCGGGTGATGGCCACAAGGGGGCGCCCGGGGATCTGGGCGTCATCGTTGCCCGTGGTAACCGTGATCTTCTGGCCTCAGCCTAGCAGGCAACTGGAGCAAGATGGCCCTGCGCTCCTGGACCCCTGACTTAGGGTTTCTCGAGGAGAAGGTGGTGCGGTCTGCTTCAGTCTCCACCAGCCTCTCCCTAGAGCTATGCACCTTCCCCACCACCCTGGGCTCCTCCGTCGCCGCCGAGGCGCTGGAGCAGCTCTTTGTTGTGGGTGAGAAGCCCCGCCGGCGCCGGCAGCCACGCCCCTTGGAAATGTGGTCAGCTCCGGGCTCCTCCCGGAACCCAGGACATCTCTGGGCTGGGGTCCAGCCTTCTGCTCCCAGAGGGAGATGGGCGACAGGAATGTCTCAGTGCTCTGGTGCAGCTGGGGTGACCTTGCTTACTGGGGACAAATCTGGGACCCTCTGGCCATCGCCCCCGACCTGATTGATGTATATTTCCACTTCAGCTGTTTCTTCTTGCCTTTCTTTTGCAAGCTTATCTTCCACCTTTTACCTTAGCAAGCTGAAGACTTAAATAGACAAGTAGGAAGTGAAATGTTTAAGAGGCGCCTGTTGTATTCGGCAAAGAAAACGAGATACAATTCAGTATTTGGGAGATTTGGACCAAAAATGATCTTGGGTGGGACCAGGCCAACTTACTTGTTATGTTTTGAATCTAAAATAGCCCCCACAGGCTCATACTTTAAATGCGCGTTTCCCAGCTGGTGGCTGTTTGAGGAGGCTGTAAAACCTTTACGAGGTGGTACCCAGCTAGCAGAGTCCGGTCGCTAGGTGCAGGTGTTCCCCAGCCGCTGGTTGCTGCTCCCTCTGCTTCCTTGTGGGAGGTGATGTGAATGGTTTAGCTAAACACGTTCCGACTGCTGTGATCTAAGGAGCCTCCACATGCTCTCCCCTCCTTGGTGGATTAAAGCCCTCTAAAACACTAAGCCAAAATAAAAATCTTTCTTCCCTACATTGTTTATTTCTGGTATATTGGTCACAGCCGACCAAAAGTAACTAATACAACATTTCTTCAATAAGGTAACGTGATAGTCCAAGAAAGAGCCAAAGTCCTTTAGACTGTCCAAGAACTAAGCAGCTCACTAATTATAATCACCCTATTGCTTCAAAATATACTGATGTCCATGATGGTGTTGCCATCAGAATGCTTTCTTTTTTAGTTCTTCTCAGAAAACCTAAATTTAATTTACAGTTTTCATTAGATGAGGCAAGTTATTATCATAAAGAATGTTAACCACCAATGAGACAATTTATTCATATGTGTCCAAGGCCATTGTTGATGATGGAATTTGGATTTTGGGTTCTCTCCAGGCTTGATCTCCAATTCAGCAAGTCCATTCAAGGCATAGTACTTATGCATAAATATTGTTTTCCTACTAATGTCTAGACACTTGTGAATTTTTCTTCTTTTTAGAGTATCTTTTATTCTTTGACAGTTTGATACATGTATACAATATACCTTGATCATACCCACCTCCAACTCCCCTCTCCCACTCCCTCCAACATCCCCCCCCCCACTGAGTCCCTGCTAGAATGTTAACTGATCTTGTTGGCTTGACCTTGTGCAGATCTTCTGCAGGTGACCACAGCTGCAGTGACTTCATGAGTACAACAGCCATGTCATGGCCAGAAGACAGTATTTCATAGAACCTGAGAAGTATTGGGGGAGGGGCTTCATTAATACTTCTTATAGCTGGGTGTGGCAATCCCAGTACTTGGGAGGTAAAGAAAGGAGAATCAGAAAGTTGAGGTCATCCTCAGCTATATAGCAAGTTAGAGAGACCAGCCTGGGCTACAAGAGATCTTGTCTCAAAATTTTTTTTAATTTAATTTTTTTTTAAAGTCTTCTTTCTTTGGGGGCTGGAGAGATGGCTTAGTGGTTAAGAACACTGACTGTTCTTGCAGAAGACCCGGGTTCAAATCCCAGCACCCACATGGCAGCTAACAACTGTCTGTAACTCTCGTTCCAAGGGATCCAACAGCTTCTTCTGTCCTCCCTGGGCATTGCACAGCATGGGTGCACTTACCTACATGCAGGCAATACCCGTGTACATGTAAAATAAAAATAATAAATAAAATATTTTTTAAAAAGTCTTCTTTCTCAGAATTTGAGTAAGAAAACATATGTCTCCAGCCCATTTGCAAGCAAATATGCTTTTGCTCACTCCATAAAACAAGAAAGAAAAGATAAACAATACCCACGCCTCTTTAACACACTTGCTTGGTTTAAGAGAATAGCTCTGTGGGAGAGTCCAAGTTCCCTGGAACTGAGGGCAGACATTACAGCTCATGCTACTGAGAAATGGAAATGGCCAGTAAGAGTATGGGCCCTGGATCAGCATTCTACTGCTTTGCACATGAAATGTAATCTCAAAAATCTTAGCTTTCTCATCTGTGAAATGAGAATCATCCCGTTATAAGAATTAGATAACACAGGGATATGGGTTATGGCTCAGTGGCAAAGCACTTGCCTAGCATGCAGAAAGCTTTGAATTCCATCCCTAGCATTGCAGAAAGAGTTAGATAATGCATACAAAGCAAGATGAATTGCATCAAACTCCTCTCACACACAGGACACAGGTCTGGAATGCACAGCTTCCTCTCTTCTCTCTTCTCCTTTTATCCTTTCTTCCCTGTCTTATTCAGTATGTATCTTGACTTTATTATCATTGCCAATATTCTACAGTACTCATAACTCACTACTTATGAAGGGGGAGGGATAAAGAGATGTCATTAAGTACATCAATAAAAAGGGATAGACACCCAACTTGATGGCTACCAGTTTTACAAATACATAATCTTATTCTGTGCTTCACAGCTTTGCACAGAAGTAAAAATGACATAATGGATTCTTTTTTTATTTTTTATTTTATGCGTATGCATGTATTGCCTGCATGTAGATAAGTGCACCCATGTTGTGCAGTGCCCGTGGAGGTCAGAAGAGGCTGTTGGATCTCCTGGAACTGGAGTTATGGACAGTTATTAGCTGTCATGTGGGTGCTGGGATTCAAACCTGGGTCTTCTGCAAGAACAACCAGTGTTCTTAACTGCTGAGCTATCTCTCCAGCCCGACATAATGGATTCTTAAACAGTTGATTTGGTGTATTTCTGGTACAATGTAATTTTATATTCAGTGTGCATATATGTGTTGACACCAAACCATTATTAAACCTACATTATAGGCATGTTATCATTTTCCCATTTGAAATGTTTATTGGTATTTCATCCCTTTCAGATATCTTCTATCATAAGATATGCAAAGATGAATCTTAACAAGAGATTGTCTTTAAGGACACCAAAATACATCCCTAAACACTATGCAATAGGAAACAGGCTTAAAAGAGATTCATGAAGTACAATAGACATTCAAAACTAGATGTAACTTCCGGCATTTGAACCAGACAATAAAGGGTTAACCAAGTAGGATTTTTAAAACATAAAAACATAAGTAATAGATCTTAACTTTCTAATCTCTTTTTTTTCCAGAAAAATCTCTACAAGGTGATTATTTTAAATGCAATGAAGAAGTTAAGACCTTTCTTAAAGACATTGCTATAGCTGTTAAAAAATTGGTATTGTATTATCTTTAAGAGTTATTTTTTAGACATTCACATAATTTTCATTAAGCTTTAATGAACAGAATTCATATTTTACAAAATTATATTATATTTTATAAAATTATATTCAGTGTGTAATTACACCACATAGTCACACTTAGTATCCCTCTTGTGGATTCTTAAGGATTCCTGTGCATTTTGCCACCCTGGAATCCTAGAACAACATTTTGTCCTGCTGCCTCCTTTTGCTTACATTTTTCTGCATATAGGAGTCAAAATATTTACTGTGGCTAATTAAAGAATCTAGTCGCCATCCATTTAATTTTTGAATCATAAAACTCCCTTAAATAGCAGACATGAATCCTTCCATTTTAAAAATAATATTTATTGCTTAAAAGTAATACATGTTTACTCTTGAAATTTTACAAAATAAATAGATAAGCAGAAGTAAGAAAGTAAAACCCACCATGATTCTAGTACCCTGAAATATTGACAATTAACTCTATTTCTTTGAGGGCCCAGGTGATAGATTCCTGCATTGAATTTTACTTTTTACATAGAAGCTTTCATGTCATAGATACAATTATGTAATTTGATTTTCAGTTGGTAAAATGCAATGGAATTTCTTGGGTCACAAAATAGCTACAGCTATTTTGGACAGTTATTTAAAAGATGATTTGTCTAATCTTTTACAAACCAAGCTTTGAATGGCTTTTTTTATTGCTAAGCAGATTTTTTTTTAATTTTTACAAAATCTTTATTGAGAATTTCACATGTATATAAGGTGTATTGATCAAATCCATGCCCACTCCCTCCCCTCCAACATTCCCCTCTCTGAAAAGGTAACCCTAAAATCTTTTAAGGATTAGATACAAGCTCCCAAATGCTTTAGACATTTTTGGCCTTTGGAAAAGAGTATGTTGCTAACAAGCCCAAGGACGTTTTGACTTTTAGCCAAGAAACTGGCTACATTTCTTTGGGGTCTATTTACCCTAACTGCCTAGCCAATTCCTACCTCCTAATCTTATCACATCGTCCTCTGAAGGGGTTGCCTGAATTGCCAATACAGAATAGGGACGCCAACCACTCTGGCTTCTTCCATGCTGAACAGGGACACAGGGTGAGGTAACTGGAGTATCCCTTCAGTGGGCCTATCTAAAAGACTCCCAAATTGCATAACTCTTATCTGTAGGGGGAAAAGAAAGTCCTTGAGATAGGAGACATGAAGGAAAAGTAAAGGCAAGAGTAATTAGCATTACAAGTTCTAGACAGGGAACTAGAAAAAAGCCAGAACAGGGCAGTTTTCAAATGTTCATATGAAAGTCCATTGGAGTTTCTTGACAAGGGTTTCCAAAAGCATCTCTTTATTGGGTTTTTCCACATTTTTCTTTTGTCTTCCAAGGCTGGACTCTAGAGTGATGGATTTTGTACATAAATACATGCTGAATTTTGTCAAAAGCCTTTTCTGCATCTATTGAGATGACGATGTGGTTTTTGTCTTTGCGTCCATTTATATGATTAATGATGTTTATTGACTTGCATATATTGAACCATCCCTGCATCTCTGGAATAAAGCCTACTTGATCATGGTGGATGACCTTTTTGGTGTGTCTGTATGCTGTTTGCAAGTATTTTGTTGAGAATGTTTGCATCTATGTTCATTAAGGATATGGGTCTATACTTTTCTTTTTTGGTTGTGTCTTTACCCAGTTTGGTATTAGAGTGATGCTGCTTTCAGAGAAGGAATTTGGGAGTTCTCCCTCTGTCTATCATTTTGAATAATTTTAAGTAGTATTAGTTGGAGGTCTTCTTTAAATGTCTGGTAGAATTCTGCTGTAAATCCATCTGGTCCTGGGCTTTTTTTAGTTGGGAGGCGTTGTATTACTCTTTCAATTTCCTTATATGTTTTGGGTCTGTTTAAACTGTTGATCTTTTCTTGGTTTTACTTTGGCGGTTCCCATGATTTCAGATATCCATCCATTTCTTTTAGACTTTCAGATTTAGTAGCATATATGTTTTTAAAATATTTTGTATAATGGTTTGGATCTTTTGGGTGTCTGTTGTGATGTTTCCCCTTTCATGTCTGATTTTGTTGATTTCCATTTGTTCTTTCTTTCTTTTGGTTAACTGGGCTAAGGGTCTGTCAATCTTGTTTAACTTTTCAAGGAACCAGCTCTTAGACTCAGTGATTCTTTGTATTGTTTTCTTTGTTTCTATTTCTTTAATTTCTGCTGTGATTTTTGTGACTTCTTCTCTTCTGCTGGGTTTGGGTTTCATTTGTTCTTGCCTTTCCAGTGCCTTGAGTTGCAGTGTTGGGTCATTTATTTGGGCTCTTTCCAATTTTTTAATGTAGGCACTTAGAGCTATAAACTTCCCTCTTAGGACTGCTTTTAATGTGTCCCAGAGCTTGTGTTGTGTTGTATTGTCTTTTTCATTGAATTCCAGGAATTCTTTTATTTCTTTCTTAATTTCTCCTTTGACCCACTCATTGTTTAGGAGTGTGTTGTTCAATCACCATGAGTTTGTATAGTGACTAGGGCTTCGTCCAGTGTTAATTTTCTTTGAAAAAGTTCCATGGGGTGCTGAGTAGAAAGTGTATTCTTTGGTGTTTGGGTGGAATAATAGAAAGATGTGTGTTAGGTCCATTTGATGTATGTTATCATTTAATTTAGACGTCTCTCGTTTATTCTTTGTCCAGTTGACCTCTCTAAGAGACGGTGTGGTATTAAAGTCCCCTACAGTTACTGAGTTGGGATTAATCTGTGTCTTAAAGTTTTGTAGTGTTGTTTTTATGAATTTGGGTACACCAAAATTTGGTGCATATATGTTGAGGATTGTAATATCTTCTTGGTTAACTGTTCCTTTGATCAGAATGAAGTGACCCTCCTTATCACTTCTGATTAATTTTACTTTGAAGTCTATTTTGTCAGATATTAGAATTACAACCCCTGCTTGTTTCTTAACGCCATTTGCTTGGAATATTCTTTTCCAACCTTTTACCTTAAGGTAGTGCCTGTCCTTGAAGGTAAGATGGGTTTCTTGCAGACAGCAAAGAAACAAGCAAAGAAAGAAAGATTTTGTTTCTTAATCCATTCGCTTAGCCTGTATCTTTTGACTGGGGAGTTCAGTTCATTGATATTTAAGGTTATTATTGAAAAGTGTGTATTGGTTACCATCATTTTGATTGCTGTTTGTGTTCTCTATGTAATTTTGTGTTTCCTAGATTATATCTTTGTTTATTTTCTTTCATTGCCCCTAGGGTATAGTTGTTTATCTCTCTGCTCTCTGTCATTCAATTATTCTTTGGAGGGCTGGTTTTGTGGACATGAATTCCTTCAGGCTATTCATATCATGGAAGATTTTTCTTATCCCCCCAACTGTAATAGACATTTTTGCTGGGTATAGTATTCTAAGCTGGCATCTATTTTCATGTAGAACTGGAAATACCTTGGTCCAGGCTCTTCTTGCTTTCATGGTTTGCAATGATAAGTCAGCTGTAATTCAGATGGGCTTTCCTTTGTTGTGACTTGTTTTTCTTTTGCTGCTTTCAGTATTCTTTGTTCTGTACATTTAGTGTTTTTACTATGATATGTCATGGGGAGTTTCTTTTCTGATTCTATTTGGTGTTCTATGTGCTTCCCGTATTTGTATGAGAATGTCATTCCTTAATTTCGGGAAATTCTGTTTTACAATCCTGTTTAAGATCTGGTCAACAGCATTAACCTGAAATTCTTCTCCTTCCTCTATTCCTATGATCAGTAGATTTGGTCTTTTTTTCATGGTGTCCCACATCTCTTGCATATTCCATTCCTGTGTTTTTTTTAAAATTTTCCATACTCTTTGCTTGAGTTGTCCAATTCTTCAACTTTATCCTTCAGTGTTGATATTCTGTTTTCCATTTCATTCATTCTAGCAGTCACGCTTTCCCCTGTTGTTTCAGGTTAGCTTATTGAGTTTTGCACTTCCTTCTTCATTTCTGCTTAAGTTTTCTTCAATGTTTCTACCTCTTTTTTGAAT